TGGACATACGAACTCGGGAGATGGAAGCAACGGTAAGAGAGTAATTATCGGCCGCGCCATAGCTCAAGCGGTTATTCGCTGGCTTCGATCCCGGGTCTGGTCAAGTGGGATTTGTGGTGGACAAAGTGGCACTGGGGCAGGTTTTCTCTGAGTACTTCGGTTTCCCCTGGCAATTTTCATTCCACCAAATTCTCCATCATAATCACCCGGGGCAGCTACAATAGGCCAATCTGTGGCCGCCGTGTCGAGTGGACCCAGCCGGACTCCACCCCCCACTAAGCGAATTAAATAGAAAAGCAGTAATTACAAACGTGCGGTACGGAAGGTTTTGGTGACGTCCAGTAGATATTATATCAAAAAATGATAACATTTAGTTCTTTATTATTGTGTTGGAAAACCAAGATAGCTCAGGCGGTATAGCGATGAGCTACTGCCTAGATGACAGGTTAGGGTTCGATTCCCGACAAAGGCAAGAGATATTTCTCTTCTCCACAGAGTCCAGACTGGCTCTGGGGCCCATTCTGCCTCCTAGACAATAAGTACGAGCGTAAAGGGGCCCGGACATGAAGCTGACCACTCACCTTCGTCTAATATCCAAGTCAAGAATGGTGAAGCTCCAATACCCACGTTTTCATTGCTTAGTGCTTAATCAATTAAGCGCAGGGACACCTTTACCTTTTTACCTTTTTTTCATTAATGACTGACTGACCGATCACAGTGGTCGCGCTGTCTGCGGCATGAAGTGTCTTCACCCGCTCGAACACTGGGGTCGTTGATTCGAATCCCACTCAAGGCATGGATGTCTGTGCGTTAATACTGTATTTGTGTTGTCCTGTGTAGGTAGCGGCCTTACGACGGGCTGATCTCCCGTCCAAGGAGTCCTACCGACTGTCTAAGATTAAGAAACTGAAGTGAAACAAAGCGTTTCACGGATGTCTCATGCTCCAAAGCGGGAGCAACAGGAAGTAGAGGGAAAGAGAGAAAGAGAACATCTGACTGAACAACCTTGACCACAGATACAAAAAGAGGACAATGTAATTAAAAATACGGCATCTGTAATTACACTACAAACAAAGAAAGAAATAAAATTATACACGAAGGAGGAAGTAAAAAATATTACATTAATTTAATATGTGCTTAAGTGAGATAATTTTTCTAATTGTCACATCATTGTCATGGCAAACAACATTTAATAGTTCTACGCTTCAAGCACGATAAGAGGTACCAATATTGAAATATAAAATGTCTCTAGAATATTGAGAGGAAATATAATTTCCAATACAGAAGAACATTCTTTTCACGCACTGTAAATATTAATGCGAAAATATGAAGAAGAAGCCAGAGAAGGCGACGAAAGATGGAACTGGCAACCAACAGGACCAGATGGAAGAGTTTCACGGATGCCCTATGCTCCAGAAGGAGCTACAGAAATTGAATGATGAATGAATGATAATTTGCCCGGCGTTGCCCGGAGAAAATATACACTGATAGGAAACAAAAACATATAATAAACCTCTTCCCGGAAACGATCTGTCCAAAATATTGGAAAGACATTGCCTTTATTTCTGACATTAACCCTCACTGCTTTCCTCGGACCAAAAAGTGGGTATTGCCTTGTGAGCTCTGCTTGTTACCTGCTTCACTCTGATTTCTTGCTCAGCTCATTATTCGACTATGAAGATGGAGGCAACCTGTTACTCCGACACGTCGGTTGACTTTCAACGGACTACAGTATACCACAAGATATAACCTTGCATAACCATGGCTGTGGGAGCCTCAGATTTTACAATTCTGTTGTTCGTTGGATCATTTTTGGCTGCTGAATACTGAACAAAAAGTGTCACCCTTACCTCGGAAGAGAAATCGATTGTTGCTCGGTAGCCCAGTGTTGATTGCTGAATGCCGAACAAAAACAATATCTCAGTTTGGAAACGAACGAAGTTGGAAGTTGGAACGAAATCCATAGGTACACAGTAGGGCACTCTTCGGTGTTGAATACCGAACAGTAGTGAAATCCATCTGACCGGTAAGGATACCATTATTGTTTGGTACACCATATTCTTGACCCCGTCTGTGGTCTAGTTGTCAGAATTCTCGCCTACAGAGCCAGAGGTCCGGGTTTCATTCCCGGCGCTTCCAGATTTCCTGAGACGTAGTGGATCTGGAACGAGGTCCACTCAGCCTCATGAGGATAATTGAGAAACTATTTTAAGTAAACAGCGGCTCCGGTCTAGAAACCCGAAATTAACGGCCGTGGGAATTCGTTGCGCTGACCACGCGACACCCTCTATCCACTAAAGTTGGCAATAACTTCGCCGACAAGCGGCGGTCGCTCGGTCGGTATAGTTCGCTTGCCGACTCAAGCCACGGAGTTTAGTTTTTTCTAAGACCATATTCTTTCCTCTAAAGCCGGTTTAGTAGAAATAGACATTTCGCTTTTGTGTCCCTATTATCCGTACAATTACTTTTAGGTGTCTGTAACCTACCAGAGAAGCCCTCTGCACCATGCTAAATTTTGTTGAATAGGGACAGCAGTGTAGAAATGTACGAAGGGGGACCCAAAAATAACCGGAACCGACCTGTTGCGCGCGCATGCTTTGTAGTTACGAATTGTGCTACTAGGTGGTGTTAGCTGGGGGTCTCCAGCGACTGTTAGTGAGCTGGCGTCAGTCTGAGTTAAGTGGTTTGTCTGTGGTGCCGTGTTGTGTGCGTTCCTGTTTCAACCCTTTGGCGATTAGTGAGATGGCCGACCAGAAGGAACGAAGAGTGTGCGTGAAATTTTGTTTTCTGTTAGGGAAAACTGCAGCCGAGACTGTTGGGATGCTTCGGCAAGCCTTTAATGATGATGCTTTGGGGAAATCACAGGTCTACGAGTGGTTTTCCCGTTTCAAATCTGGCAACATGTCAACAGAAGACATGCCA